TTTTTTGAACGGTACTTCATGCCAGCCTGTTGTCAGTCATACTCTGGGCGTTGTTTGGTCCATATACTGTAATACCTGTTATGATCCATAGGCGGTGTTCCACAGGGAAGTCCGAGACGGGGGTTCCCAAGTGGTGGTACTGGGGCCGGACGAGGAGGAGGAGATGGTTCAGAGGGTGGAGCAGAGCGGCTGCATGATGCCCACCTGCAGCAGCAGATCATCCTGGCTCTGCGGAGGCTCAGGCAGGACATGAGGAGTGTGATGGACAGGCTGGAGGTGGTGGAGAGGCTTGCTGCAACACATGTAAGCCTATCTTTGATGATGGGGACGGCTGGTTCGATGGAACACTGAGAACATCAGTGATTGGTCGTTCATTTCTTTTTGTGCTTCAAGTTGGTCATTGAAGCTTACCTGAACTCGCTAACAGAGTACACCCAGTAAAGCCGAGCAATGCACAGTCCTCTCCAACATTTCTTATTTAAAGTTGCTTTTTGAGCTCTGAGCTGACTCTTGTGTTGTGTGTGACAGGCTCAGGGTTCAGAGTGGAAACCATGCCTACAGTGTGCAGCCACAGCGTCACAACAGGAGGTAAGAGCTATGTCTTTGTTTGTGAATGGAATAACCAAAGGTACTGTCTGTGGAACCACAGTAGCCAGATTTACTGGAAATACACCTCATTGCAATATGTTGGAATTGTCCTTTACCACAAGATAAACTAGATCATTACCACTCTGTTTAAACATACTCAGAAAATCTATTTAAACTCTGATAAAGCTGTAACAATTAGTGATATAACTGAACAAAATGTGTTAACTATTTTGATAATTTAATTAATATTTTTGTAATTTTCATTAACAAAAACGTCTAATATTTGCTGGTTCCTGCTTCTCAGATAATGATAATTGGTGCATTTGTCAGATAAAGCAACAGGCATCATCTACTGTATTCTGAAGTTTCAGAGACAAATTTTTAAAAAAAAAGATCAATCGAGGAAATAATTAGCAGAAGAACTGATGCTAGGGTGGGACTACAGGAATACCTGTTTACAGGTGGTAGAAGTTGGTCGACTCCATATAGCACAGATGTCAAGCAGTTCTCAAAAACAGTGGTTATACAACTAAATATTAGTTTAGTGACTCACACGAATGCAAAATCTTAACATTTTTTTTCAGTGTATTGAGTAAATATTTGAGTTTGTAATGAAAAATGCAGACACTGCTATTTTTGAACAGCTCAATATTCCTTCATTTTCTGTAAAGTAGTTAAATATTGATACATTTTTCTTCATGTTTTGATGTAAAATAAAATGTGCTTTGTTCCCAATGAATAGAAATAAAATATTCTAAGGATTTTCAGCTTTACTCATGTTTTAAACAACACTGCTATTATTTTGAACACAACTGTAAATAACGAGGTGTGTGATTTTGTTCTCAGGAGGACAAATGGTGGCCGTTTGACATGTCGGGTCAGACCGTCTTCTTCTTCCTGCTGTGGCCATTTGTGGCTCAGGGTCTGGTGTACTTGCTGAGAAAAGCCCACCAGAGAGGTCGCACGTCTTCATGAAGAGAGCTGACAGCCAACCATGTGATCCACTAATGAAGTTTACTGGCCAGCCACAGGACTCTATTGTGAACAGTTCATCCTCCCTGTGTGTGGTCAGTGGAAGGAGGGAGCGACGTGATGTTCACCTCAGGATCCAGAAATCCTCTCACTCACCACAGCAGACCAGTCTTCATTTAGATAATACAAGTAGAGTAATCTGATTACAGGCTCTTTCCAAAAAATTAGAAATATCATGGAAAAATTGTTTAATTTCCATAATGCCATTCAAAAAGTTAAACTTTAATAGATTGTAGATTCAGGGCCCACAATTGAAACGATTTCAAGTATTTATTTGTTTATTTTTGAATAATTTGGGTTTCCAGTTCATAAAACCCACGAAAACAGGAATTCAAAAAATTAGAAAACTGTGAAGAAATCACCAGTTTTTGCAGAAAGAAAAAGAAATTAGATTCACATCAAATCAATCAAAATATGGTACTTTCAAAATGATGTGTCAGTCTTCAGTACTTGGTTGGGAATCCCTTTGCCTTAATCACTGACTCGATGCACTGTGGCATTGAGGCAATCAGCCTGTGGCATTGCCTGGGAGTTATGGAGGCCCAGATTTCCTTGATGCTTTCTGTCAGGTCTTCTTTGTTTTTGGGTCTGGTGCCCCTTATTTTCCTCTTGACAATACCTCATAGATTCTCAGTGGGGTTTAGGTCCAGAGAGTTGGCTGGCCAGTCAAGGACTGTGATGGCATGGGCATCAAACCAGGTTTTGGTGCTTCTGGCGGTATGGGCAGGGGCCAGGTCCTGCTGGAAGATGAAATCTGCATCTCCGTACAGATCCTCAGCAGAAGGAATCATGAAGTCTTCTAAAACAGTCTGGTAGACTGTTGCAGTGACCTTGGATTTAAGAAAGCAGTTTACCAACACCTGCACCGGACATTGCACCCCAAATCATGACTGACTGTGGATATTTCACACTGGACCTCAAGCAGCTTGGGTTCTGTTCCTCACTCATCTTCCTCCAAACCCTTGGACTTTGATTCCCAAATGAAAGGTACCCTCTACTTTCATTGGAAAAGAGAACCTTGGACCATTGGCCAACAGTCCAGTCCTTCTTCTCCTTGGCTCAGTTGAGATGCTTCCTACGTTGGGTCAGGCTCAGAAGTGGCTTGACCCGAGGAACCCGACATTTGTAGCCCATCTCCCGTATGCGTCTGAATGTGGAGGTTTTTGAAGCTGTGACTCCCACCTCATTCCACTCTTTCTGGTTCTCTGCCAGATTCTTAAATCACTGTTTGATAATCCGCTGAAGCCCACGGTCATCTCTTTTGTTGGTGCCTCGTCTCCTGCCACATTTTGCACTTCCACTAGACTTTCCATTGATATGCTTGGACACAGCACTCTGGGAACAGCCAGCCTCCTTAGCTATGAACTTTTGTGGCTTCACCATCCTATGGAGGATATCAATGATGGTCTTCTGGCCAGTTGTCAAGTCTGCAGTCTTCCCCATATTGAATGAAACTGAGACAATTGAACCAAACTGAAGCAGTTTAATGACACCTGGGGAAACCCGTGCAGGCGCTTTGAGTTTAGTAGATGATGAGTGTGTGACACTCAGTTTGTAACATTCATGTCCTGCAAAATTTGGGCTGATTTCTTCACAGTATTCTATTTTTTTTATTCCTGTTTTCGTGGGTTTTATGAGCCGGAAGCCCAAATGATGTAAAAAATAAACAAATAAATACTTGAAATCGTTTAAATTGTGGTCCCTGAATCTATAATCTATGAAAGTTGCACGTTTTGAATGGAATTATGGAAATAAATAAACTTTTCCATGATATTCTAATTTCTTTGTAAAGGGTCTGTACCTGTTTTGCACTGCAGGAATCTGATATAAAGATGATTTGTCTCTAATAAAGCAGAATGAGTGCTTAAACTGATCATGAGGAGCCTGAGTGAAACACTTGGATTGTATTAATACATCATCTAAGTGAGGCATGATGCACTTTCATCTTATTTCTGTTTTTTGTTTTTTTTTTGCTCCTGTAAATTTGCAGAATATCAGTTTGTCAGTAAAAGCACAGTACAGTAAGAGAATCTGCACTGCAGATTTCCTGCTCGTAAGCCACGCACCAAATACTACATGATAGTGTTTAAAGTCTACCATCTATGAATGTGACTGGTTGCTGTGATGGACACATGGCAGCCCTCATTGTTTCATTCTACCATTTCTGTTGTGATTCTTCACCTCTGACTTTTGATGCAATTTTACTCCTCTTCAAGTCTTACATTGCATTAATTTCTATTCAGAACTGCTCTATCTCTGTGCCCGTGTCTCTGACCGTGTGCATCTAATACCGGTGTTGTTTGTTACACGTGGAGCTGCCACCTCCAGCTGTAACTGATGAAGTGCACTGGAATGTATATTAGCGACTGTAGTCGCTGGATGATGGGTGAAAAATTTCCACACTGCCCTCTAAAGAACAATGGTGTATAATATTAAAGCATGAGTTGAAATTAAAGTCTTTATTGAATAGGATGCTGTGCGGTGTCAAGTCTGTGTGGCAGTTAGTGATGATTTTCATCACTTAAACTTAGCCTTAACCCCAACCTAAAGAAAAAGACAGACATTTACATTGTTTGCCCAGGTGTGCCTAGCTGTTTGCTGTAGGTAAACCTAAAACCTTTCACTGTGAATAATACATTTAAAGTGCTCCGTTTTTTCAGTTCCCACACACACTGGGAATTTCTAAACATATGATGGAAATAATTGTTGAAGGGAATAAAAGTGGAAACGTTTTCTCTAAGGATGGTGTGGGACTTCAAGTTAGTAAAACATTTTTTTGTTCGGATACATAATGAGCTGTGTTCAATGTTATTTTCGTTTCTGACTCAGTATTTCGGTTTGCCACTGCCTGGCACTGAAATGCTGCAGCTCTGCTGGCCACATACTTCTTTTTCGTGTTTCGACTGGAAGCTCTGATGCTTTGACAGAAAAAGCTCTGTTTCCAGCCATGCTTTGGCTGCACTCTGCAGTATATGTTAGCCATTTTCTCATTTCTCTGTGTTTCCCATAGGTGAAGAATTGACTGGTGGTGGTGGGTGATGTAGCATGACTAATGTGTGTGCAGAGTCCAGTAGTCTTAGTGGGGTTTATAGACAAGGGTTGAGAGTTTACAGAATGTTTCCTAATGCGTCACATGCATCAGTAGACTTCTAGATATTGTGTATAGGTCGTTTCAGGTGCACTGGTGCGACTATCATTTCTGTTTTCTGTACACCACTTTATCCTCTGTGGGGTTGTGGGGGATGGAGCACTCAACTGACTCAGGGTGAAGACAGGGGACACCTGGACAGGTAACCAGTCTATCACAGGGCTACACAGAGAGACAGACAACCATGGAGGCTAACACCCACGGCCAATTTAGAATCACCAGTTACCTTGCATGTGGGTCTTCGGACTGTAAGAGGAAGTGAGGACCCACGCAGGCACAAGGACAACATGCGAACTTCACACAGAAAGACCCCAGGCTGATGGTCAAAGTGGTAATCTCTGCACCACCTGCTGCCCCATTTTATCACATCACATAAGATTTGTGAAAATTGGAATGCAACTTTGTGAAGCACTCAATTGTATTCAGAGGCAGCACGCTAGAAGGTCCCCGGTTCATCCGGTTAGGACGCCTGGGGTCTTTCTGTGGGGAGTCTCCATGTTCCCCCTGTGCAGCGTGGGTTCTCTCCGGGTTCTTCGGCTTTCTCCCACAGTCCAGAAACATGTTGAGGTTAACTGGTGATTCTAAATTGCCGGTTGGTGTGAATGTGAGTGGGCTGGCTCGAAGGGCACCAAGGGGAGACACGGGATACACGGCCAACCGAACCAGCCTTCTCCCTGAATCAGCTGGGATAGACTCCAGCCCCAGATGATGGATGCATAAAATTGCACACATATTACAAAAATACATGAATAGGCACATTATATACTATATAGGGTGACATTTTCTTTGAGTATTAAAAAAAAATCATTGAAATGTATTTAACTTAATTGCAAATGTCATTTAAACAAACAAAATGTAATGACATAAGCCACTTCATGAAATATAGAGGTGTAATTTAAGTCTCTCGTCTCTTCCGTAATGCAACTGCATAGCATCTTCTATTCAACCATCCTTTCCTGGTAAATATTCACTTTATTTAAACTTGTAACATGTCTTCTGGTTTACATTTGTAGTCTCTGAGCCCAAGCTGTGCTGACATCCATAGACTGTATATAAAAGCCTCCAGGTCAGAAAAGTTAAGCCAACGTTTTCTCTAACAGCCAGCAGGGACGTCTCCACTGGTGGCTAAAAGAAGTCAGAAAATGAAACTGTTTCTTCCTCTATCTGTTACCTCAGTCAACATTTTCCTAAAGTGTTTTTGGTCTCAATGCTAGTTTCATGTCTTTTTGAATACAGCATGGTGTTCATTTTGTAAATTACGGTCCCAATCCAGTAAAATAGACAGTGAAGCAGGGTATGTTTTAGAGCAGTCTGGCTTGTTTGACAGGCTGCTACTATATCCCAGTGTGCAGTGTTGTCAAGTTCCGAGCACCGTTGCACAGTCCATCTTTTATATATATGGTCTATGCTTACGTTACAATTAGGGATGGACTGATACCTCTTTTTGATTTCCGATACCGATACGATACTTCAACTTTGAGTATCTGCCGATACCGATACCGATACCATCTCTCCTCCTAAACTTCTTTGGAAATACCTTATTTGCATGGATACATTTGTTTAAGATGCTTTATCAAAAGCCTCATACTATTAAAGCATAGACTTTGCTTTTCAAAGAAAGGCAAAAATAGCCAAAAGCATGTCTCAAAGTGAAACTGTAGCTGCTTTATTTGAGCTGCAATCAGACTACAGTGTGCACTCAGTGCCATTCAGATATTTAGAACAGATCAAAATGACAGAAACATTAAGCTGCAATTTAAAGGTTAAATTACCAAAACTTGGTATTAAATAATAGTACCACGAATAGCCGCTCTCGGCTCTGCGCATGAGCAGTAGTAACTGAGGCCGGAAACGTTGTGAACTGCTGCGGATGGGATCCAATAGGAAGAATATGTGTGTGTGTGTGTGTGTGTGTGGGGCGGTATCGGATCGGCCAGTTACCACTGTGAAGTAAATCATCCGATACCGTAATTCGTCCAGTATCGGCCCGATACTGATACCCAGTATCGGATCGGCGCATCTCTAGTTACAATCAAAGTTATTTTTTCAGATGTGACAAAATTCCACAACACAAAAGATGCACAACAGTTTACAAAGGTTGAGCACTAACCAGGACAAGAAAATTGACCTTCATATTTAAATTCAGCAGTGACCACCTTCTCAGTGTCGCTCTGCTGTCAGTCTGCCCAGGTCAAAACAGACAAGAAAGACAAACAAAGGCATTTCCAAAACAAATAATTTAATATATTATGTTTAATATTTATATACACAGGTTAACTTAACAAGGCTTTGTACAACTGTTACAAAATTGGTCCACGCACAGTACACCCACGTACATAAAGTACATGCACAAGGGCACAGGTAGAGAGAAGGACAGACTGAGTCTAGATATGATTAAGACAAACATGGAGCCTGGTTGGATGACAGTGGTTGGCAGTTCATTTTGGTTTCAATCCATTTGTTTTTACCAAACTAAAGTTCTGGGTAAGAAGCAAAAATACTGAAAATGTAAAAAAAATCAAAAATGCTAAAACATCACGAGGGTAAGACTGTGGTTTTGGATTTAACAAGGTCGTTCACTCCCTTCCAGCTGCTCCCATATCATTTTTAACACTGTTATAGTGTGTGACTGTAACACTACGTGCTTCAGTTCCTTTGCAAAGCGTTCTCCACACTGTTGACACTGTACAATAACCCACATAGAAAAAAACAACATAATTTTGGCATGACTTTACATAGCTGCCTGAAACACTTGTAACCCAACAGGCATCATCATCTTCCGAGTTCTAGCCTTCCTTTCTCAACACACACACACACACACACACACACACGCACACACACAGGGAAGCATGACAGGTTTGTGTTGAACACTTAGGGTTTGCATATTTTTCCATGTCACTGACCCCATGCGTGTATTTTTTATTTTTATTTTTTTTTACTTCAAGCAAGCTTTGGCATAACGCCTAATTCCACTGTCCAGACAAGGAGTGAGTTCTGCTGAATTTCCCTGTAGATCCACAGGAGGCTTTGGAGGAGCTCGTAAAGGGCTGAGAAGTAAACTGAAGTGAGGTTTCGTGTAAATTAGTTTGCCGTGCTGCACTCAACATGGCAGGTAAGTGTGCATATCAGATATTTGCCTATATGGGTATAGTCAAAGACATCATTAGTGGAAACCAGTGGGGGGAGACACCAGGTAAAGTCCAACACAATCAGCCTTCTGTGAAACACAACTGGATGACAATGGCTTTGCTGGTGAGAGTTACTGTAGCAGGAACAGCATTAGTTTGAGAACTCAATCTCAGTTGTCTAATATGGCTTTCTCTCAGTCTCTACCCAAAACGCATCATCACCATCCATCACCTTAAATCTGCGGCTGAAAGGTTTCATTCCAAAACATTGTGTGTTACGAGTTACTGCCACAGTTCCTTTTGACAACACCAACTTCATGTAACTGTTAAAAAGCTGTTACAGTCATGTGGTGACTTCACCTGTTGTTCATTAGGGCTGATAGTTTGATGGATCATTTAAGAACAAATTCCCAGGAATGCATCTTTCTCACGTGGAATACACGTTTGATTTCAAAAGCAGAACTGTGGCTACTGAGGGAAAAAACAAAGGCAATCACAGCAGTTAAACTTCAGACTGGATATATGGGAACATCTGACCATCTTGGGTTGAGAGGAAAATCCCTCACCTGTACCTGACACTGAGGTGTCTGAAGGAGAACAACCTGAACTGTAGCATGACAGCATGCAATATGTGACTGGTCACACAGCATTTTTTGGCCACTAAAAACATGATCAACGCTCTTCATGCCATTACAAGGTTTCGCTTCCTGTGACTTCCTCCACTTACAAAAAATTAAAATCAAGTTGAAGGGTCACAGTTTTGACTCAGTTTAGGGAGACATTAGCACTTGACTGCTGGTCTAACAGGCAGAACAGGGGCGCTGTATCGCTGCCCAAGAAGACTACTTTAAAGCCGATGGCCACCAAATGTAAACAAGGGTTAGTTTTTGATTTTTATTGATGCAGTCTGAATTTTTTAATTGCACCTTGCATTGTGGATCCAGTCACACAAGCATTTCAAATGGCAAAAGTCTGTAGCAAAATCAGTTCATTTGGATGTCTTTGTGGTGATCACTGGATCTGGCTGTTGGGGCTTATAATACTTGATTTTCACTGCTAAACAAAAAAACTGTCTTTACTGCATTGATCTCTGAGGGCATGGAGAGCTGGAGAGAACAGTTTGTTATGCTCTAGTTTCTTATGCCTTGCTCCTTCTACTTTCCTCTCCCCAGCTCATCATCAAGCTCTGCAGAAGCCTGATAACGATCCTGATCATTTGAATCAGGTGTGTTGGAAGAGGAAAGCATCTAAAACATGCAGGATTGCGGCCCTCGAGAACCAGGATTCGACACCCGTGCTCTACAGTGAATGAACGTCCTCCTGTTAGCAACCAAGCTTACTGTCAATTACCAAGCTGCCCAGCTCAGACTGTTGCTGACTAATGCTAGCATGTTCCTACATGTGTCAGCTGTACTGACTGGTGCTAAAACATGTTTTATAATCCAAATCCTTTTATTACGAAAATTGACTGTGCAAAGTGAAAGTGGTCAGTAACGCTGGAACACAAGGTTGTAGTTGCAAAGCCATTTGACTGGTGTATTATCCACATCTCACCAGCAGGGTGCACATAAGCTCTGCTGGTTAGATCAGTTAAACACTGCTACAGCCATAAGGTTCCACCAGTTAGTGAACTTAAGTTGAATGTGGGTTTATCATCAACAATAGTATTTTTGAAAAGATTAAAATTACAATTTCATTTATGTACAATAGATGTACTACAAAGTGCACTGTGTAAACACAGGCTAAAATTCTGGGACCTTGCAGGTATATTTCCTTGGATATGTGAGCAGATTTCGGCTTGTCCTAAATTAATATTTACTTTTATGTGGTCTGCACAGTATATTAAGGCATGGATAGTTACAGCTATACTCTGACGCAAGTGAAGGAATTAAGACAAAAGTATTGCTTTCAGAGCTTTACATGTTTCTGATTTTGGAATGAAACAACAATCAATGCCAACGATTTTCTTTACTACGAGGGCACGGTTCCAAATTTAATGCCAATAAAAAGCCAAAGAAGTCTTGAGACAACTGAGATCCCCCTGCTAACAAGACAAGACACTAGGCTTTAGAAGTGGTGACACATGTGATTCAGTGTTGGTAAGTAAAGGGCAAGTGCTTGTAATTGCATTAGTAAATGCCACAGTTGGATTAAACTATCACTGTATGACGACGCCACACTCTCTTGTCCCGCGGGTCTGTGGCCGATCTCCTCATGACCACAGTCAAAGGTCCAGGGGAGCTTTGATCTATCCATTCCAAGGAAGAAGAGGTGGGAGGGGGAGACCCCTGGGCAAGATGAGGGAGCGGATCCATATGCTGAGCTGACCTGGAGCCTACAGTCGATCCCTGAGGCATCCCAACATTTCCACACTGACCTGATGTTCCCTTAGTGACCCAGATCACCTCTACCTTGTCTGCTCTCCATTCTCTGACTCTGTCATCTCTCCTGCCCAGCTCAAACTCCAGATTCATGGACACAGCCCTCGGCCTTCCACCTCTGGTCTTCCTGTAGCGAAATGGCGCTGCCTGGTTCCAGTCTGGTGGACAGCTAGATCCCTGTTCCAGATTTAGAGGCCTGGATGGGGAGATCCAGAAGGGGACAGTGGGGCGTCCCCTGGCCAGACTGTGAGTTCTCAAATGGGAAGGAGGATTAGTCACAGGTGGTGGTCTTGGGAATGTGCCGTGGACCTGTTGATGTGAGTAGAGAAAACTGTTTGGACGAAGCAGCGGTGCCGGTAAGTTGGTTCTCTCCCTTTGGGAACTTTTTGCATTGCTGCCAGTTCTCTTTGTCAAGTCCTCTTTAACCCCTTCTCCTCCCGTCAATGAATCTTTCCCCTCTGTGGTGTCTCTAGCTTTTACCCCATTTTGCCTTTCTTTGACAGGAATGGTATGTTCAGCCTTGACTGCCTCTTGCTCTTGTCCATCCTCTTGTTCTTCTCCTCCCCCTTCCTTTCCCCCATAGTTGCTAGCTTTGACTGGTTCATGCTCAGAGTCCTCATCAGCGCTGCTGCCCAGCAGGTTGCTACTGAGGCGTTTTTTGCGTTTGCGGGTCACAGCAGAGATGATGGACTTGGGTAGGAAGTCCTTGGCATTCAGGTCTTTTTTGGAGCCTGAAGAAAGCTGAAAGGTTGAAATTTGAGTCAACAAATATTACTCTACTCTGCAAAGTCTAGAAGCAGTTAGTCTATTCCAAAAGTGAAATTTCAAGTAAGAGATTTCATGCCTACCTTTGATTTAAGTGAATCGCTGGTGGTGGATTCTAGGAGAAAGAAGAAAGACCTTGTCATAACTGGATGAGTGAAGGTAGTAATATTAGGAGTGACATCTGGCTAATCACATCATGTCTACCAGTGCTGCAACCTTTTAGGAGAACTCAAGCCATTACCACAGGATTTGTCTTTAAAATGAGGCAAACAACCACTGTTTTCTGCTTTTAATTTAATTTGTAGCAAAAATGGCTAGAGTTTGCCTTCAGCAAGACAGACGAGTGATGAGTCACTGGTGGAAAAAAACAATACTAATAGAAAAACATAAATAGGTCAATTAATCCAAAGAAACACCAAACACAAACAGACAACGAGAAAGACCTGGTCCTACCGAAGAGGCTGATCCATTGTCTCAGCTAGAGAAAAGGAGTGCAGATAGATCCGCAAAAGAGAAAGTGAGAAAAAGCGGGGAAACATCATAAGTATCCAAAGGCAGAAACAAAACAGTCGAAGAAACAGTACAGAAGTAAACTGGGAAGGAAAATCACTGAGTCTCACTTGTCAAGGAAACAGACCTGTAGCATCAAGAGTTTAGAGTGTGTGGGACAGGTTAGACTTGGAAGCAATGAGGCATTCGGGATCTTATCAGTAGCCATCATGAAAGCTATGTTCTCTGAGTTGCATGTAAAGACTGTGTTCAGTGTTTCAGCTGACCTACAACTTGATTTATGCAAGCACATAACTAATGTCAAGCAGGGCCTGGTTACCTGGGCATCACTGGAAATGAAGAGGCTTTGTACATATTTGTATATTTCTAGTTGTCTCTAGATTGTTACATTTTTACCATTTTCTGAAACTGACCATCCAACAGTCACATGCACTTCACACAGTGCTTGGTCAGCTTTATAGAGGTGAAGTACTGTGAAGCACAGTTTGAAGTCTTTCAAGCTCTTTTGCATTTAAAAATAAAGCAGTGTAGAGCTATCAGCATTTAACGTTTATAAATGATCAGACAACACATTGTGCGATCCAAAATCTTAGAAAAGCTGGCATGAAAGTACCTGATCCTAGATAGCTAAACATGGGACTCCTAAATTCTGATCAATCTAATCCAGATTCACTGTAGAACACCTGGGTCCTGACCTAAAATGTATTTTTATGTGAGATATT